GGTTTAAGCGTTCGTTCTTTTCCTAAATGGATAAATCCTGACACTCGGAAACTAATCGACCATCTACTGGTTTCCTTGCTTTTCAGCATGGCTCCGTAGTATTAGTTAGATTATAGTAACTATTTCGTTCAGGGGAAAGCATGATGACTTTTTACCCTCACACCGGCTCTTTCACTGGGGATTGGTCTTTGAAAAGCCGATCAACAGACACCCGCTCAGAATAAGCTTAACCGTACTGTTCAAAGGCCAGGCTGGAGCGAAGAAAGGGGTATCGGCTAGGGGTTTTGAGAGACTTAACAAAATGTAAATTGCAGCCTGAACTGTGTAAATGCGAGGTCTTACCGGTTGTACTAAAGTCTGTTTGGAACATTATTTCAAGAACAAACTCTTGCAGAGACTGAAATTATTCCTCCCAAGCAATTAACTCCACCCGACAAAATTCAGTGCATACTTAGCGAATGAAAACCATAGATGTCAGCAACAGATTTCCAACCTTTATCGATGAAAGCAAGTTGTACTCTAGTGAAAGTTTGGGAGAACTCGAAAAAGCTGTGGAAACACTAACCTGTCGGCTCATGTTCCCACAACTTTCTCGCTCTCCCCGGAGCTTCCCCAAACTTCCGTTATGAGCTCGAGATTTCTATCGCGTGATGCGCCCTCCCAAATTATCACGCACAGAAAACAAAACAGGGAAATTTGTTAGGAAGTAGAAGGAACAGATTACACATTTTTCAATTCCTCAACTCTTTTATTAGAAAGAAAGCAGACCCTTGGCAACAATTTAGCTTCCCCCTAGGGACGACCTTCCATACAATGTATAAGGAGGACGGGAACGCTTGTCGGAAATTTTGAAAAGATCCTCTAAGAGGTACCAAGATCCTGTTTTGTGGGCGTGGCTTGTGGGCTTTTGTGGGCGTGGTTTTGGTTACCAAAACCGCGTTTTTAACCCCTAAAATGTACGATGAGCATCCCCGTCCTTTTTATATGGGAGTTCTTCCCCGGGGGAATTTTCCCGATACTTAAGTTAAGACTTTTAGTCCGTTAATGATAGCGCAAACGAATCTACAGTACCACCGTTAATACTTGAGTGTTTGTTTGAGGATTTTGGACCCTCAGCTCTAAAAAACTTATCCCTTCATGACAATTTCTTGAAGATATTAAATCCAGTGTTTGAGTTTTCAGCTGCGCATGATGTTTTGCTGCTGCTGCTGCAGCTACGAGGATAAAATCTGCCGCTGTCCTGAGTCAGCCAGGCGCTGTTAGAACTGTATGGGTATTTGAGGCCCACCACGTCACCATATTGCACAGGGTTCCCATCATCAGCGTTCTTGGAGTAGATCTCAAAGGTGACGTACGAATAGCTCAGCCAGGCGCCTCCTGTCATGGAACTGGTGGTTCTACAAAAACAACGGGTCCAAAATCAAGACCAGTACATTTCAATTTATTCATTTCCACATATAAATAAATGATGTAATCTTAGCCCTTAGTAATTGTTTGTTACTATTTTTATCCTTTGCTGTTACTATAATCTCCTTTTTAGAAAAAAAAATTATTTTTATCTTAAAAAAAACCCTTCCGTGTATTTGTATGCCACGTACGTATTATTATAATAAGATAGTTCCAGGCTTCAGGAGTGATTCATCGGTTTTTCTGCTACAGCTCTGTTTCGTATAATAATAGTAACCGCTCCAGAAAAATTGTGCGCTCTCTGAAAACCGTTCTGCAAAAGCAATTGTACTGCCCCACAACAAATAGTGAAAATAAGTCATGATCGAGAGGCAAAGCATTAAAGGTTTCAATTTGAAACTACTAACGAACGTTTACTGCCTTTTTCGCTTTAGTCTTTCTTGTTGATCACTAATGGGTTATGTACTTACGATTGTACTGTACAATGGGTGCTGGAAGAAGCAGAGCAATACAGTCGGTAACTGCTACCATAACTGTTGGAACTGAGTGACGCTGTATCGCCACTGTTGATTGGTTCTCCATCCGACTTTCCCCTGGCAGTGATAGTAAACGTTAGCGTTGAGCAGGAGGTCCATCCTGTGGAGGTGAGGATAGTGCTGCCTTGGCAGGAATGCCAGTCGCCGTGAGATTTATGGCAGTGCAACCAAGACGTCGAGGCAGTGTAGGCAGACCGCAGAGCGACAGTGTCACCACTGTTAATGATGGGATATCTGTGACCTTCGAAACTGAAAACAGAATCATGTGCAGTCATTTCTCAGGCAGCTTTTTCAGTTAAGGCTGAGGCTACAACGAAGATGACAAATCTGACTTGGAATTGTACTGGATTTCTTCCTTTACAAGACGTGACGGTTGCAATTGGCTTTCAAAAAACAAACAAGTTCGTAACTTTGAGGGAGACATTGTACTCGACCATGAGCGAATATGCTTCTTCCCAATCAATGTTAAAGCGACAAAAACATGATTATCGAGAATATCATTATCTTTCAGTTTTTTCTTACTCTTAGACAAGCCGTCCCAAACTTCTTCTATGGGAATGTTCAAGTTCACGTCAACGGTGCCCTTGACCATCAGTTTATCGTTGGAAATGCTGTAAGCAACGGACGCTGAACGCACGCCAACCGCCAAATAGATTGCCATGAAAGCGACCACGAAAACCAAATTCATTTTGAACGACTTGACAATGGCTCTTTTCTCGTATGGCGTCTCTGAACGTTGAGTGTTAAATCCCGCCTGACCTCACTACAAGTACAATGATGTTGGTTCAGAGCTGAGATGTTTAAGTATTTAGACTGTAGTCAATAGTGACTTAATAGGTTCTCTTTTCCACTTTAAAAGCATTATTGGCTCGTAGCTATAGTCCCGCTAACCCATGACTATAGCGTGCAATAGGTCGGGGTCAACGTCTAACTAGAGTGAAAATTTGTTTCTGTATGCAAACTCATGTGACAAGGCTCCCAGTGGTTTTCCACTCATGCTTGCATGTGATCGTGACATGTCCTGCCCCTCCTCAACTCTCTGTCAATCCAAGCTTAGTAAAATCCCGTCGCTTCATACCCTGTCTCAGTTGTGAATTACTCGTCAAGCTAAGTTGTTCTCTGCTTTGGTCGCTTAAGACGATTAAACCTCGGAAAACTCGCGGTGGGACTGCCCCACCACAATCATCTTCCAGCACCTCTACCGTAAACTATCCGGGCATTGCAACAGAAACTCTCTGTATCCTGTTATCGTACAGGTAACCTAGGCAAACTGTTCCGCGTTGCGACTTGCTCGTCCCCAAGAAAGCGACTCTCCAGCCGTTGTCATCACTGCTCCAGACCTCGGCGATGATGGTCTCTGATGTCGACGCCAAGTTGGCGAATCCGCAATGCACGATCCTCTAGCGAGAGTGTTATTTAACAATGCTGTTGCCAGGCTGCCAAAGCCTTGTTCCCGTTTTCAGATCACGTGCGTAGTAACGAGGAAAAGGAAAGAGGACAGCAATGTCCACGTACTCACCATTCGGGATGGATGCTATCTGGCTGTTTGAGAGGATGCCGGGAAGCGAGGGAAGCCTGTAGTGACTATGAAACGAGGCGAGCTCCATTAAACATCTAATGAGTCTGAAGAGGAGTGGGGACGAAGGGGGAAACGAGATTTCCAGCTTTATTTAGACACGTTCACAGGCCTACCAAAGTCCATCCGTTGGAAGTCCTGTAGTCGTTTTGATTATTTCACGAATGCATGCCGTTTAATTTCTCCCAGGTCCAAGGACTCTTAGGACCCAACCCACACCTATCAACAAAGGGGCCCCCATTGCCAGCAATCCTTGTCCCATAGCCTACCAGCACCAGTATATATACCGATAATTGTCTCCCGTTTTTTCTTTCAAAGTACAAGGAATACCGCATATATAACCACTACAGAACGAACGGGTTCTCAGTCACGTTCTTGACTCTCTGTCGGGGACTGTCTCGCGATCCAAAGTCTGGAGCGGAAGTTTCTAAAATTAAGTTTCCAGGAATGAAGTTTCTTATTCTTAAACTTATTCTTAAACTTATTTTTAAGTACAGTATTTTGTGGTAGCTTTGCTTACCTGAGAAAAGAATGCTGAAATCGAGAAAAAGAAAAAAAAAGCAGAAATAATTTTTTTTTTCTTTAACGCACGTTTTATTTTCGGAGTAAATGAGCATTTATGCTGACAATACGGCATGATTTGTCTCATAGTTAAAACAGTCGTTTATTGAGTG